ACAAAACATTCGTTTAAATTGCAATTGGGTGTAAGCGACCCTTTAAATCTAATACCTATTATATACTATTCTGTTTTTCCTTGAGCACTTTTCTATTCTTCAACCTCCTTTGAAATTGTAAGACTTACTATTATCGCTTTCATCCATTATTTATATAGTGTTTGTTTTTTCATATAATTATACATACATACATATATATATATATATATATATATATATATATATATATATATATGTCCCACTCCTCATATCACCTCAAGGTTCTAGAGTCCTTGTATATCAGATCCTGTGGGCCTTCCCTTTGTAAACAGAGGGAATGCTTGGTGGGTCTGAATGTTATTGGACTCTAGTTTTCTTGAAATTCATTTTTCCCTACATTCGTTATCATTAATATTAATTAAATTTACACGCTTTTCATATCCAAACCGGTTGTTCTTTTTTAGATTTTAAAATGCCATATAAATTTTGCTTATTCCTAGCTATCGTTAAATTTTCTACCATAAAAAACGTATATATACATATATATATATATATATATATATATGTGTGTGTGTGTGTGTGTGTGTGTGTGTGTGTGTGTGCGCGTGTATGCACGTTGGGGGGGAGGCTTGCCCATCGCCATATTGTATGACAGCGTGAAAACAGAAATATCTGCTATTCTAAACTTTTTATCCTCTTACCAAAATTAACTAATGTCTAATTTCAAAAGGGTAAAGCAATTTTACCATGCCGCTCCTATCCAAATGCACTTAAAAAGGCAGAGTAGGAGTCTATCCATGATGCAGATTCGTCCCAGAAAGGAGAAGTGCCGAGTCTCCAAGTTGTGACATTGTGCCAAATCTACGATCGTGGGAGGTCGGTCGATGAATAAATTTTGAACTTTACAAATAAAACGCTTTAATTTATCGATGTTGTAGAAGACCATGGGGGTTTGCGTGTTGTTGAATTAGGAACACATGCGTTTATTTCCTGCTAGAAGAAAGTCCAACTACAAGAACATGCCGGACTCAAGTTGAGTCCAACCGAAGAGGTAAAGAAAACAAACAAGACCGATATATATGTCAACAAATATATGTATTAAACAACAAATTTACAAGTGACAAAGATATCAACATTTATGTTTGTGTGTGAAAGTAAAGAGTTTATATTTTGGTTAATGTCCGTACGTACGTGTATGTGTGTTTTATGGCGTTTTCCCATAAGTGTGCGAAAACGCGGATCTCCACGAGAGATCACATTTTTAAATGTGTCCGCTGAAATGCAAAGTGAAAAAGAGGCAAGAAGTCGCCCAGTATTTATAGTGTAGGGAGAGTGAACAATTAGGGAATTAAGAGAGGAGTTAACTCCGACAATGTCCTAAATTATATTTCATCTCGAAGATAAAGGGTTAATTTAATTTTTTCTTCTGTATTCCAGCAGTGCCTTATTTCTTTTAGCAACGCGAGTAATTCTCTAAATCTTTAGCTAATGAAGAAGAGCAAATGATTCTGTGAATGCAAGAAAGGAAGAAAACATGGCGGAATAAATTGAGTGAGTGAAAAATGAGAGTCATGGAAAGAGTGGGAAAGGTAAGATTATTTTCTCTTTTTAAATTAAAAAAGTTAATGCAAAACAACAGAGAGAAAAACAGAATCGTATATATACATGTATATATCTACCTTGTATATAGAATGAATTTCCAGCCACATTTTTTCATGTGCCGCGTCCCTTCAGGACGTAAGCGATCTCACTATCCTTTGTAGCCCTAAACAATATTTGTCCTTTTCTATTGATCCTAGTCAGTTCTGACATCTATTTACACAAGCTCGTTGTGTAGGTTACTCCCTGCTCTCCTTCGTCCTTTCTCCTTCATTATGTCCTCTAGGTGTCAAATTCTCTATCTTCAATATATTTCAAAGAAGATCTCTTTCTTCCATAGACAACTTTGAGCAAATAATTGAAACAAAACGAATAATTCCGTTATTATTTAATTTCTTTCGTATTTTTCCAATTAAACGTGACTCAGTGCACATGTTAGTACTTCGTATGTCCATTCCACCAAGTCGTTCCTAGATGATTGACCACAGATTCTCGATTGGATTTAAATCAGAATTTCCGGGCCAGTCTATAGCACTTTGATTTGCTCACTGGTAAGGCTTGCCAATGTGTTCGTGCAGCGTTACAATTTTCGTACGCTTCCTTCCATCGCAGACAATGGCCGTAGGACAACTAATCGACAGTCGCAACAATAGTGTCTGGGTGTGATAAAAATCTAATGCAATCACGGATGATGCAATATTTTTCAATGCCAAACAAATTTCATCATACACATCGAAAATAGATTCATATTACTGTACATCACTGCAAATGACCTAATTTGAGGAAAAATAGAAATCAATTACACCCTGTCACTCTAGTGGGTCTAAAACTGACCGAATGGTGAAAGAAAGGAAATCTTTCTTTCTTTTTTTCTTATAGTATTTCTTTCTTTCTTAAGCGGTTGTATAAATTAATTTCCACAAGGGTGTATGTCTCAGAAAATTAAACTCTTTCTGATTCTAAATAGAAGTGTAATTTCTTTTTTCCATTTTCCTAAAAAAGAAACTTTTTCATCACTCACATTTTCCGTCCGTGTTATTCGCAGCATCCTTCTGTGGAGAAGCACCTTTTTTGCCTCAAGCATCCTCTTCATCTGCGAGGAAATTCTCCGACATTTACTGCCGTATAGAAAGATTATCACTCCTTTCTTTGTTTCTAACAAAATTGGCCTGTTTCTTGACACTCTTTTTTCTTTTTAGCCTTTGCTAGGCATCGTTCGTTATTCCAATGTGCCTTCGGAGTTTTGCGTAACATTTTCCATCGTCTGTTATAATATTTCCCTGATAGTTCCTGTACTTGCTAACTTTTGACATCTCCAATTTCTATCTCGCATCTTGGGTTGTCCCTTTTACTAACAACCATTCCGCCTTCTTACAGCTGATAGTTAGTCCTTTCTTCTCGCTCTCCTTTACTACCTCGCCCCAGAGTTCTTACGACTTTCTTTCTGTGTCTGCCATAAACTCTGTGTCATATGCGTATCCTATATTGTTAAAATTGTATCCGATAATAATTCATCCTGATATGACTGCTAGTTATCTTTGGGTAGTTTCCCTGTCTATAGGTTCAATATATCCGTGAAGAAGACGCACCCTTGCCTTACGCCTCTTTCTATTCTTGTGTACATTTGCTCAATTCATTTTCTATTTGCGTACAGGTCATTTGTTCCCAGTAAATGTCCCACATTATTCTAATATCTTTCTCAAATACATCAAGTTTTCCTAGCAGTTCAAATAACCCTTAAGTCGTACTTTACCAATTGAAGTCTATGAAATATATGTATACGGACGTCTGCATTTCTTCTGCTCGCTCTGACAGCATTCTCATAATAAAGAGCGCTTTTCCAGTTCCAATGTCTTTAACGGTCACTCTCTTCTTGTCATTTTTCTGGTTTAATTCTGCTAAATTATTCATCAGAGTCCGGGTGAAAAGTTTAGTCATATGACTCATTAAGCTGATAATCCGATTTCACACGTCTTCATTCTCAACTGGCTTCTGGGACATTGCTATGGAGATCGATCTACTAATTTTCTTCGGCATGTTGTCGCTGTTAAATATTCCATTTATTATTTCCGTAATCTTCTCAATCCCGAAATAGTCTAAAATTGAAATTATCACTATTACAATCCCATCTGGTCCTCCTGCTTTTTTTTCCTGTTCATCTTGGCCAGTGACATTCTTTCCTCAGACTTTAATATTTCAGGTCTTTCTATGTTTTTATATATTGTAGGATTCCCTATTTAAGTATGAAAGGATTTTTTGATGTATTCCTTACATCTTTGAAGTATTTTTGTTTCTCTATTATGAGAGTTACTTCTATAAATTTTATGCATTCAATCAAGGAATGCGTTTTTCCCTGTTATTTCTTTTATGCATGTATCTATGCTGTTCCTTGTTTGTCTCTCTAGCATTGAGCCATTCCTCTTTGGCCTACTAGCATTTGTTTGTAATGTTTTTGTTTAATGTTCTGTATTCTGTACCATTCTTTGGCATTGTTTGCTGCTTCTTTTTCATCATCTCAAGTATTTCATTTATCATTCACTTTTTTTTTCTTACCTCTCTTTCGTTGGGATGTTCTCGTTCACCGATCTCACTAGAACTTTGCTTAAAGTGATCCACTTGGAATTTCTTCTGGCGTCATCTAAGCTACTAGTTATGCTCTTAATTCTCTTGGAATTCATCGTAATTTTATCTTAGTTTGCTTATGACTGAAGAGTGTTCGCTCCCACGGTCGACACTTGGATAGATTTTACAAAACTGCATTCATGAATCTTTCCTTAGCCGTTATATAGTCGATCTGGTTCGTTGTGTCTCCTCCTGGGATTTTGGAAGTTCTTGAAATCAGGTATTGGTCATTATTTGGTTGTTTGCAGTGCACCACTGGATCTTTTTTCTCTGCGTTCATTACAGCAACCCACTTGCTGACTAATTTAGAGTCTCGTTCTTTTTCTTTTTTTTTTAATTTAGCGTTTAGATTTCCTATAATGATAGCAATTCACTGCGATTTGCATAGAATCTTGGCGTTAACCAGTATGCTATAAAATGTATTTATCAGCTTCTTAACCTGTGTTTTGTATCGTTTATACTATTATCTGTTGTAATGAATATATTGAACGGATTTCCTTTCAGTTGAACTAGGAAATTTCTGCCAGAAAGTTGGCAGTATCCCAAAACACTTTTCTTCGTGTATTGATCTAGTATAAATTCTACTCCTCTTTCATGTTTCTCTCCACCTGCATATACTAGCCTGTGTGTGTCGCTTATGGAGTTTCCATTATTTTCTCATCTCGTTTCACATAGCCACAGTATATTAAAGTTTAAAGAGTTCATTTCCATGATATTTTCCAGCTGTTTATATTGATGAAATGCCATTAAATTACATGGTCTGATTACGGTTTGCTGTCTAAATGCTGATAAACATTTTTTCAAGAAGGAACGCCGGAGGAAATATAAAAGAAAGAAAGAAAGAAAGCACTGGTTAGATAGTATAAGAAAGAAAGAAAGAAAGAAAGAAAGAAAGAAAGAAAGAAAGAAAGAATAACTGGTTGGATATTATAACAAAGAAAAAAGTGGTTGGATGCTATATGAAAGAAAGAAATACTATCAGAAAGAAAGAAAGAAAGAAAGAAAGAAAGAAAGAAAGAAAGAAAGAAAGAAAGAGGTTAGATACTATAAGAAAGAAAGAAAGAAAAAAGAAAGAAAGAAATGGTTGGATATTAAGAGAAAGTCTGTCTCACTCTTCTACCCAACACACCGATTTCTAAATATGACCACACAAAAATTGGACAAAAAATCCAAGCTTACAAAACCTAAAGTTAGACGCTAGTTTTGCCATCTCCTACACCAGAGGTAGAAGTCCATCTTCTTGACATCCAACTTAACCTTCTATTCCTGTTTGAAACTGATATTGATCCATCAATCACAGCACAGGTACTCGCAATAGTCAAACATGACACGATCAAAATCTCCACGGCCACGGATTCAGCGTCTATATTAAGAACGGGCTCGCATGTAGCAGATACCTCCAAAACGAGGACCCTGATCTCCCGTATATGTGCTTCCACGTGGCACCTGTCTACAGTACCTCTTTCATTTTCACTCTGTATCATCCACAGGATGTTGGAACTGTTCAACCGAATAGATGAGACAATATTCGCACCGAATATCCCTAAGCTAGCTTTCATATTTGTGGTATTTCGATATTCATCACAAAGCGTGGTTAATCCACTCGATCAAAACAGATTAAAAAGGCAGATACAGCCGAAAATTTTCCGTCGCCTACGAACTGACACACTAAAGAACCTACCCGTGTTTCTTGACCTCTTCCTCACATCCTACCCTGAAAATACTTCACTGAAGTCTCCTCACTCCGCCACTGGAAATTTCAGATCATTCACTAATCAGTGTCAAAGTTGATACCAAACGAAAGACATCGCCTGATGTGCCGTTCCATAGAACGATTTTTCAGTACACGAAAGCCGTCTTGGATAGCTTCAGATCTTACATGGCGGAAAATTCTCTCTCAGTCTTCTTCAAACTGACTGCTTCCAAAACTGCCGCCCACATCTCGGAATGGATCCTTTCTACAATGGAGAGTTTTATACCATAGAAAAAAAATTCCACAAAATCAACCAGCCCTGGTTCATCCTTGCATATGCAGCAATCAGATCTCAACGAAATCTACAATTATCTACCACAAGGAACAATGTAGTAGGACAATTCTTACATTCGGAACTCTCTGCAACTATCGCAAAAGAATTCTAGAAAATGCAAAGTGTTGCTGTGTAAACGCAGTCCAAGCCAAGGTCGAAACGCAGTTCAAGCCAAGGTCGAAACGCAGTCCAAGCCAAGGTCGAAACGCAGTCCAAGCCAAGGTCGAAACGCAGTCCAAGCCAAGGTCGAAAACAAACAATTTAGTTCTCGGGAATTTGGGAAGATCTCTAACCAAATTCTGAATAGAGGCAAAGTGTTAATGCTTACTATTATAAATGGCGCTGTGTTCATCTCTTCCTCGTCAGATAAGGTAAAATTCCTCGCCATGATCTTTCCTTCTAAGTCCACGTTACATGACAAAGGCCATCTCCTTCCCCACTCACTAAGTACAATTTCAGTAATATTTTATCACAGGCGGATAAGTCTTAAGACTTATCAAAATTCTTAACCCTAAGAACACTACCGGTACAGATAAAATACCACGACTTGTCCTGAAGAATATTAAATCTGATCTATCCCTCAGCGAAATTATTTAACTGTTGCTTCAAGGAGAAATCATTCCCAAGTCTGTGGAAACGACCAAATGTATACCCTATACTATTTACATTATTCGGACTATTGTCCTCATCTTTGTCGCCATATTTATAACAACGTTTCGGCCGTTGTACGCTCCGGCCTTCTTCAGGTGGTTGGAATGTCGAACTGAACCCTTTATTTCGTTCACTGGGGTAGACTGTCCTAGTTCGACGTGCCATGTTTAATGGATGTCAGTTATCAGTTATTTCCTCTTAATTCCCCTCTCCAAGTTCTCCACTGCCTTAACCGGGTATTGAACTCACACTCTTTGGGTCCTGCTACTGGATCTAACACCTTTATCCACTGTGCCATGTATCCTTGAGAACACATGGCAGAGTGGATAAAGGCGAAACGTTGTAATAAATATTGCGACAAAGATAAGGACAATAATACCTCATCTCAGAAATATAGACAGATAATGTATACCATATTTTCAAGAAACCGTTTCAGTATAGACCTTTCCGCCTCCCCAGTATCTTTAGCAAACTTTTTGAAGCCACAACCAACAAGAAGGTTGTCGATTACCTCAGTAGGGACAGACAATCTCTTGAACAGCAAATAGTACATGTTTCGATCGGCTATGTCCACTGCTGATACCCTAACTGGTACTACTTACAGAATTAGGGCGGCACTAGACAATAAATACACTTCAAAGACGATCGCATTAGATATTTCAAAGGCCTTTGACAAGGTGTGGAAAAGAGGTTTATTAAGCAAGCTCTCTAATTATGGAATCACTGGAAGAGTCTTCTCAGTTATCAAGTCCTTACAAAGGGGAGGGTCTTTAAAAATAGTTGTTAACAGCCGGTTCTCCGAGGTTCAAGCTATCAACGCAGGCGGCCTCCAAGGCTCGCTTAGCGGTTCAACCATCTTTCTACTTTACATAAATGATCTGCCTAAAATTATAATCCTATCATTTGTGAATATCTATGCTTATGATACAACGGTGTATGGGTGAATCTCCAAAACTCTAGATGACCAAAGATGACCAGCTCAATGGCGGGGGAAACTTTTTCATTATTTCCTCGACAACAAAACTAATGACGTTCGATCATCCCCCAGCAGACTGTGAATTTAAACTTGAATGGGAGCTCTCTCAGGATGGCCCTGTGCCATGAGTGCCAATTGGTAATTCAAGTGGAATTCGTTCATACGATCCATTGCTAAAGATGCTTAGGAAAATGGCCAGTTCCAGGAAGTATCTGACTCATGCTGCTATTCTATACGTTTACAAATCCGACCGAAAATGGAGTACTGCTGACCTATAGGAGATGCACAGTTTTCACTTTCTAGTCTCGATAATCTCTAAAAGCGTCTCCGCATCCTTGCGAGTGATGAATTATTTTACACAATTCAATTTCTAGATTCATTAAGTCCACCAGTTCCGACCTTCACGGCTACAGCCCGCTATGCCACGCCCATTGTAGGGTACCACCCTCATTCTCTCCGGATTCCATTTGCGAGATGTAAGTTCCACTCGAGCATTTCCCTCCTAAGAACAGCCGCTCTGAGGAACCGACTTCCAAGAAGATTCTTTCCGAATCACTACAATTTGGGCCTGTTCTAGGGTAAACCGTTATGTTCCCCCACGTATCCACATAAACTGTGCCTCTCATTCTGTAAACCTTTATCTCAAGTGGCTATTGGACATTGTAAAGAGTGAATATCATTGTAAAAAAAACGAAAGTGGTTGGATACTAAAAGAAAGAAAGAAATGGTTTGATTCTATAAGAAAGAAAGAAAGAAAGAAAGAAAGAAAGAAAGAAAAAAAGAAAGAAAGAAAGAAAGAAGTGGCTGGATGCTAAAAGAAAGAAAGAAAGAAAGAAAGAAAGAAAGAAAGAAAGAAAGAAAGAAGTGGCTGGATGCTAAAAGAAAGAAAGAAAGAAGGAAAGAAAGAAAGAAAGAAAGAAAGAAAGAAAGAAAGAAGTGGTTATATGCTAAAAGAAAGAAAGAAAGAAATTTAAATAAGACCGAAGAAAACTGCCGAAAATATCTATTATCCATGAAACTTTCTAAAAACTCTTTGATATTCACATTTTTTTCATATTTCTTATTATCCCAACCTTACCAACGTATAGAAGTAAGGAATTGAAAAAAAAACAAAAAACAAATCAGTTTTAAATGTTCACAATGAAGAGATTAAAAATGTTGTCTCTGAAAATCTGCTGCTGTCAAGAGTGTGTCAGATTTTGATACGTGAAAAAATGTCATTCGGCAATTGACGTCAAAATGAAAAGTTCTTCATTGGGACAAACTTGAAGAATCTCTAGTTTAATAAGGTTTGGTTTTTTAATGCTTTCAAACCGCAACATAATAAAGTACTTTACAAAATGCTCTTCGAAAAGAGACAGAAAGAGAAAAGAAAATAGAGAAAGAGACAAGAGGAGTGAATGAGGAGGAGGAAGAGAAAGAAACGGGAAAAGAGAGAGGAGAAGAAAAAAAAGGGAGCGGCGTTTAGATTCCTTCCACTGAAAAACAAGTGACAGTAGGCATTTTATTACAACTCATTCATAAACTGAAAGGCGGGAATAATGGCTGTTGGGGCAAGTGTTAAGGCTTGTTGGATAATGACGTTGTTCCTTCATTCTTTTTTAGCTTGTGCTTCAATCAACCACTATCGGTGCGTACCACCCCCGAACCTCCTGATCGTGTGGTGGGGAGTAGGGGTTCAAACCCGATTGGGAGCACCGGTTAGTGTTTTGTGACCCCCGCTTTTTTTTAATCAAAATTTGTTTTTGTTTTTACCTACATTCATATACGTTACAAGTTAAGCTAAGCAAAACTGAGTGTTAAAGAATTTAAAAAAATCGCGGTTTTTGACGTCATTATGGCGTCTATTTTTTTCGTTCAAATCCGTGAATTTGTTTTGTTCATGCTAAGTCTCGAAATATATATATATATATATATATATATATATATATATATATATATATATATATATATATATATATATATATATATATATATATATATATATATATATAAAAATTCACTATTTTATACATAATGTTAAATATGTTAAATTATTCAACTTTTTAATAAGAAATATCTCAAGTCCATGTTAAAAATTGTCGCAAAACATTAGTGATTTATTTAAGACAGATCTATTGTGACATGTCTCTAATTTGTATTTAGATACGTTGTATTTATTTTTTTATTTTTCTAGTTGAATTGTTCACCTCTATTGCATACGATCCATTATTGTATATAATTAGGTTTCAATAAAATTTATATTTTATATGAATATTACCTTATGAAAATTAAAATGTAGTAGAGAGGGGACTCTGTATCATAGTTTTGGTTGGTGGCGGGGGCACTGTACCACAGATTCGGTGGGGTACGATACCCTTGCACCGACCCTGCAATCAACAAATTAGTTTCGTTGATGAAGCTCTTTATTAGTTGTGGAGTTATAAAATATTTGAGTAATATGAAAAGCTGACTTGGACGCGGTGTAGTTACGTGCTGAAAAATCTTTTGATAGAAAGATTGTAGTGAAATAAGTTGAGTCAAGATAAAAGTGCCAACCCACCAACAAAGTGTCAGTTGGTGAGGTATGTTTCTTTTTCACATTCACAGATCTAACCAATGATTTCATTTTTTGAATCTTATTTATCGTGGTAAAGTGAATTCCAGAACGGGCACGATATACCGAAACGAGATTTTTTTTTTAATGTATTTACTTGTTTACTGAGCTCTGATTGGCCAAAGAAATAATTTTTTTCTGATCCACTTAAAGTAGCAAAGATATTTTAGAGTCGACCCCTCACGTTGTCTCCACCTTACGTATGAAAGAGTCCGACTTGACTACTGTTTACCATAGCACACGGTCCGGAAAGAAGACCATGACATGAATAAAACAGTTGATTAAACAGAATTTGTAAAAACACGCGTATAGTGCTGATAATTACGGTGGCGAAGAATTAATTAAACAAAACTACCAACTACTGTATGTACTCGCGTCTCAGGCGACTTTTGAAAACCTTTGAAGTTAATTTTAAGAGGGTCGCATCATACACGAGATATAAAATTAGCGTATGTACTGCTGACCCTGGCTATACCGTCGACCAAACTATATATTCATTTATTGTAGTCAAATTAGATTCAAAATCAGGTCTTCAATGGTCGCTTTAACACGAATATATAAGGTAACTATCTCACGTCGTTCATATCTGTCTACCTACCCACTTATCTATCTATCTATCTATCTATCTATCTATCTATCTATCTTATGTACTCGCGTCTCATGCTACTGTTGAAGACTTAATTTTAAAGCTAATTTTAAGGGGGTCGCATCATATATGAGATATAAAATTAGCATATGTGCTGATGGCCCTAAACGATATATCGATTTACTGTTGTCAAAGTAGCTTCAAAATTAGGTCTTCAAAAGTCGCATAATACGCGAATATATACGGTATCTATCTCACGTTGTTCATATCTATCTATCTATCTATCTATCTATCTATCTATCTCATGTTGTTCATATGTATGTATGTATGTATCTATCTATCTATCTATTTATCTCTCTATCTCACGTTGTTCATATCTATCTATCTCACGTTGTCCATATGTATTTATCTATGTATCTATCTCACGTTATTCATTATCTATATATCTATCTATCTCACGTTGTTCATATCTATCTATCTCACGTTGTCCATATGTATTTATCTATGTATCTATTTCACGTTATTCATTATCTATATATCTATCTATCTCACGTTGTTCATATCTATCTATCTCTATCTATCTATTTATCTTACACATGTTGTTCATATGTATTTATCTATGTATGTATGTATGTATCTATCTATCTATCTCGCGTTTTTCATATCTATCTATCTATCTCACGTTGTTCACATCTATCTATCTATCTATCTATCTATCTATCTATCTATCTCACGTTGTTCATATCTATCTATGTATCTATCTCACGTTGTTCATATGTATCTATCTATCTATCTTTCTATCTCACATGGTTCATATCTATCTATCCATCTCACGTTGTTCATATATATCTATCTCTATCTATCTATGGATCTATCTCATGTTGTTCATATGTATGTATGTATGTATGTATCTATCTATCTATCTATCTATCTATCTATCTATCTCACGTTGTTCATATCTATCTATCTCACGTTGTTTACATCTGTCTATCTCACGTTGTTCATATCTATCTATCTAGCTAGCTAGCTAGCTATCTCACGTTGTTAATATGTATTTATCTGTATGTATGTATCTATCTATCTCACGTTGTTCATATCTATCTATCTATCTCTCGTTGTTAATATGTTTTTATCTATGTATCTAGCTATCTATCTCACATTGTTCATATCTAGCTATCCATCTCACGTTGTTCATATCTATATATTCAACGGAAACGTAAGAATAACAACAAATAATTTAAATAAGATAACTTCACCTTCTGCTCAATCCGCTTTCAATAAGCAATTCAACTTAATTATAATTAACAGTAGATAATGCAGGAACAATAATTCATTTAGGCCCACCCGGTTGTTCAATGGAGTCATTGTGACGAGCTTGCATCACTATTTTAGATATTGGAGCTTATTTCCATTTAGTCAACTAAGTTTTATTCAAGTCTTTTTCTACCTCCAGGTATATATATATATATATATATATATATATATATATATATATATATATTAACCACTAATATTATCTATCTATCTTTCTATCTATCTATCTATCTATCTATATATATATATATATATATATTAAAAAATAATAATACGATACAAATTCTCTTCTTGAAAGAAAAGAATTGGAGATACCAAAATGAAGCAACTACAAAAATTTCAATATCTAGGAAGTGTTTTAACAGGGGACAGAAAACGCGACACCGAAACCCGAGGTCGCATTAGGGTTAGCCAAAGATGCCTTTCAAAAGCTAAACTAAAAATAGGAAAATATCGTTAGAAACAAAGAGTACTGAGCAGTTATGTAATATCAGTCTTTCTTTTTCAGCACAGATGAAGAAGAGATTTGAGGCAACAGGAATGTAGCTATACAGAAGGATTCTGAGGATACCATGAGAGTAACGACAACGTTTTAGGGAAAATGGGAATCAAACGAACAGGAGGGTGTGGAGAGCCGTTAGCGCCCACATCGTGAAAAAACGTGTGTTATATACCGTAACTATGTACACTAATGGGTATGTCCCAATCCTCATAAGTACATTGGGCACTATTGTAAGTGGAGGTAATATCCTGTCTAAGTAGTCCACCACTAGCAGTGGTTTACCTACTTTACGCCGCTGGCGAGTATTGTATTTTGTTGATGTTACCGATTACAATTTCATTTCCAACCTCCGTTTTGGTATTTCCTCTTTCAATAACCCTTTCTAGTTTACAACAACTGGGCACATCGAAAAGGAATAGGAACAATGCAATCATCTCGTTGATGCTATTTTATATCTCCTTTTTTTGGCCCCAAATGTTACAATACGACACAACGTAACCCTTTGACGTCATCTAAAAAGTCATTCAATGTGTGCTCAAATGCGTGCGAGATTTAAAGAACACCTTCATAGGATACTATGACGTCAAAGGATGTGCTTAATGCATCGTAAATGTTATTTGCTCACTACTGGAAGACTTGCATTGAACGTCAATGGCTTTAGTTCGACACAGAATGGTAGAATCACGCAAAAACTGAGTCAAAATAATATAAATTCATTTTTACGTATCTTTATGTTATTGAAGCTTATTGGAACGTTTACCAAACTTTTAAATGGAAGATGATTTTAAATGGAAGATGATTTTAAGTGCAAAAAAGAGACACTAGCTTTTCCGTGATTTGATTCGCCAGTCTCGATAGAGTTCAAATCGTTTCCGAGTCTTTGTATGTGATAAATTATTTTCCACCCTCCAACCTCTCTCTCACAGGCGGCATGTGGTGAACCTCTCTCTGCTCTATCGCTTCTTCCGTGTTCGAACGAACCACATTCATTGGTTCCTTCACGGCAAGGACCGCTTTGCCATTTATATTGTAGCGAACTACCTACATTCGCTTCGTATTCCATCAGTGAGAAATTCCTCTTCTTCTCGTGAACAACTGCTCTGTGGAACAAACTCCCAAGAGAAAGTTTCCCCGATCCCTACAATCTTAACCTGTTCAAGTCCAGAGTTAACCGTTATCTTCCCCTCCTATCTGTATTAACTGCCCCTTGCTTTAGGGATTTTTTAAGGCTTCGACAGTAGTGTTCTTTACTAAAGGTCATGTCATAGTGCATCTCTCGACCAAAAATGGAGGCCTATCTTAAATCACGCTGTTCCACTGGAAGCGAAAATTTTTAGTTTCGGTTTGGGGTTGCGGTAGTTTGCTGCTGTAGTCGGAAAAAAAAAATAGAAATTAAGAGCATAATTCATTTGGCTGAAAAGTTTATCCTCTTTATTTTGGTATATATTTTTTCACAACGGTCTTATTGCAATTAATATATAATTTGATGGATCTTCGGGCCCATCACTTCCCATCCCGAGAGAAGGATCTACAAAATGTTATATGCATTTTAATCTTTGAATTATTTCTCCATGTTAAAACAGAAAAAAAAAATATGTCAGAAATTTGGTTTGGTTTGTTTTGTTTTACAGCATATCAACCTCAATGGGTTATTTAATGCCGACAAGATTTTTACAGCGGTTAATTTTTTTTTTTTAAATGTATTGCTGATATTTTTCTTTTTCAAAAATGTATTGCTGGTAATAATTTTTCCAAAAAAGTATTACTGATATTAAAACCTATTTTTATACTTTCATAGTGTTTTGACCCCTTTTGTGTGGTTAACTATTTGCCCATAAATGGGACCCTGACAGTTCTACCACACCTGGTCAGGGTAAACCTGGGAGCACCAGCAATTAAGTGGTTGTTCCACACTCCTCAAAACCTCCTGATTACAGGCCTTACTGTTGTATGCAGTTTATCGTCTTACCCAGGACGCGGATTATTCTTTTTAACGGTACACTAAATAATAATTCACCATATTTTAAAACACCTTTTAGAAGGAAAAACGCAAATTATTCATAAAAATTAAATTTTATCATCAATATATTCGTTGTTATGAATAACAATGTTACAAAGAAAAATATTAGTTAGTAAATTGGTTCTGAAAAAGGCACGCGACCTTCAAATTTTAGGCGATTCTTTGAAATCCAGACGGTGACCTCAAACATTTCGCCTATTGTGTATATCCCAAAATAAGAAAACCAACTCCATGCCAGATTCGTTAAACGCACATATTGGACAGGTAATAAATAATATTATGATCCGTAATTAAAATGTTACAATTCTCTCTCTCTTTCTCTCCTATTATCTATATATATATATATATATATATATATATATATATATATATATATATATATATATATATATATATACACACACATATATATATATATATATATATGTGTGTGTGTGTGTGTGTGTGTATGTGTGTGTGTGTGTAATCATCAACTTGAGAATTTGCTTAGTTAAGATTACCTGATGTCAATATGCTTTACATAACTTACATCTTCTACATGTGCCGTGATCATGACTCTCCACAATTTCCTGTCCATTTCCAAGCCCTTTTTTCTCATTATGTGCTCCAGAAATTTCAATTCTCTCTTCCTGATGTTAATTATAAGTGCTCTTTTTCTTTTCTTTTTTTTCTTTTTTTGCATTTTCGCTAGAACTTCATTTTTGTTCATATGTTCGACCCATGGTATCCTTATCAACCTTCTGTAAAACCAGATTTTTGGTGCTACAAGTCACTTTTTCATCTTTGAGGTGATTGTCCAGTATTCATTGCCATATAGAAGGACTGATGTTACGTAACAGTTCAGTACTCTGTTCTTTGTTTCTAACGAAATTTTCCTGTTTTTTATTACTTTGCTTAGCTTTAGGAAGGCATTTTTTGCTATGTTAACACGCCTTCGGGTATCAATGTCGCACTTTCCGTCCTCTGTTAAAGCAATGACCAGATATTTAAATTATTGCACTTGCTTGATTTTGGTATCTCCAATTTGTAAAATGCATATCGCGCTGTCCCTTTTGCTCAAACAAAGCGTTCTGCCTTCTTGGAAATGATATTTAGTCCTTTCTTCTCTCTTTCCTTCATTAATCTCTGTAGGAGTTCTTGTAGTTTCTTTTCTATGTCTACTATCAATACTGTGTCATCTGCATATCTTACGTTAAGATTGTGGCTGCCAGTAGTGAATCCTGGTCAGACTTCTAATCGTCTTAGAATTGCTTCAAAGTATATGCTAAATAATTCCGGCGAGAAGACACACCCTTGTCTTACGCCCCTTTCTATTTTTGTATATTTTACTGAATTCATTTTCTATCCGTATTCAGGTGGCATGGGCTTTCGATTATTCTAATTTCCTTTCCAAATATGTCAAGGTTATCTAGCAGTTCCAACAGTTTATACCAGAATGACTAAAACATGTTCTTGCGCAGGAGGCTCCATGAATAACCTCTGTTTTAAAATACATAAAATTGTAAATTTATTATAAATTCAACTAATCACATTAATTCCCGACGCAAATAAAACGAAATAGTGTTTTCGATTCACCTGAAGGACATAAATTAAGCCGAAGACAGTTTTTTTCATCGGTTGGAATCTAACAAGACACGATAAAATACATCACAGCAAACCTACTCCAGTCAAAATGGCCGCCGATGAAACTATCGTATCAGTCTCACATATACATAACAGCGAGTAAACGCATTTAGCATTCTCAGTTCTCCTCTTACCCACAAATATTCACACATATTCACAATACAAAGAATGTCTATGCGTCTTCTCACACACGTATAATAAAAGGACATTAATACACACCAATATACACACATATTTATACAATATACACACAATATACACACATATATACTCACAACAAGGGATTCTGTCACTCACACATACCTACAGACATGTATGCTGTCACATATACAAAGAAATGTCTGATCAGGCACATAATTTTAAACGCCGTTTTGCAAGACATTTTTATGCTATATTGAATCTAATAACTTTGTGGTTTTAATTTTGTCTTAATGTTAAGTTGGAGAAAATATGGGCGTGTTTCTTTCCGTTTGATTTAATAAAATGTTCAGTTTGAAATTCCCTTAGGGTTAATTGAATTAACAGAGACCTGAAGAATCCCGGAGAGTACATCGGCCGAC